TGACCAGCAAGAAGAGGAAGATTTCTTTGATACTTATTCACCAGTGGCTAGACTGACCACCATTCGAGTATTACTCTCGTTGGCGGCCTCACATGGTCTTCTCGTCCATCAGATGGATGTTAAGACGGCTTTTCTAAATGGAGAGCTAAAGGAGGAAATCTACATGCAACAGCCTGATGGCTTTGTGATAGATGGTCAGGAAAGAAAGGTGTGTAGGTTGATAAAATCTTTATATGGCCTGAAACAAGCACCTAAGCAATGGCATGATAAGTTTAATACAACTCTGACATCTGTTGGTTTCGTTGTTAATGAGGCTGATAAATGTGTATACTATCGCCATGGTGGGGGCGAAGGAGTTATACTGTGCTTGTATGTTGATGACATACTGATATTTGGAACCAACCTCAAAGTCATTGAGGAGGTTAAGTCCTTTCTGTCTCAGAACTTTGAGATGAAGGATCTTGGTGTGGCTGATGTTATCTTGAATATCAAGCTACTGAGAGATAATGAGGGTGGGATCACACTTCTGCAATCCCATTATGTTGAGAAGGTGTTGAGTCGCTTTGGATATTCGGAATGCACACCATCTCAAACACCATATGATCCTAGCGTGTTGATTCGAAAGTCCAAAGGCATGGCTAAAGATCAATTGAGATACTCTCAAATCATTGGTTCACTGATGTACCTAGCAAGCGCAACGAGGCCTGACATCGCGTTTGCTGTGAGCAAACTGAGCCGGTTTGTTTCCAAACCGGGTGATGTACATTGGCATGCTGTAGAAAGAGTTATGCGCTATCTGAAAGGTACTATGAACTATGGACTTCACTATACCGGATACCCGTCGGTACTTGAAGGGTATAGTGATGCGAATTGGATCTCTGATGCTGATGAGATGAAGGCCACAACTGGGTATATGTTTACTCTTGGAGGTGGCGCTGTTTCCTGGAAGTCTTGCAAGCAAACGATCTTAACGAGATCGACAATGGAAGCAGAATTAACGGCATTAGACACATCTGGTGTTGAAGCGAGATGGCTTCGAGATCTTTTGATGGACTTGCCATTGGTTGATAAACCGGTTCCGGCTATCCTTATGAACTGTGACAATCAGACTGTCATCACCAAGGTGAAGAGTTCAAAGGACAACATGAAGTCCACCAAACACATAAGAATGAGATTAAAAGCTGTCAGAAAATTAAGAAACTCCGGAGTGATAGCGTTGGACTATGTCCATACGGCTAAGAATCTGGTAGATCCCTTTACAAAAGGGCTATCACGTGTTGTGATAGATAATGCATCGAGGGAGATGGGTATGAGACCCACATGAGTTGCCATGGTGGTAACCCAACCTATGTGATCGGAGATCCCGTGAACTAGGACCTGGGAAAACAAGCCAGTGGTGAACTGAGGAGAGTAACTATACTAACCCACTCCGTTGGAGATGCAATACTCTCGATACTGTATGGTAGGATGACTACGGTCTCAATGTGTTCCAAAGCTTATAAAAGCAAGATGCTATCCTACAGAGCGATCTTTGGAGGAACACACCTATATGAGCCCGACTGCTGGTCACAGTCTATGAGATTGGGGTGATCTCTAGTAAGCTCATGAATAGGCCAGGAGTGTGACTTATATGCTCCACCCGAGGGGTCAGCCTTCGGCAGCCTAGTACTAGTAAGACATGTAGTGAAACTTCTTTACGCCAAACTGACAATTCAAGGCATAGTCCATTGTTCAGTTGTGAAGGAGTGTAGCCACTTGTTCTAGGTGAAGTTCAACCTTAACAGGTCTTTACTGAAACACTGGTATATCGAAACAGCAGTTGGAACAGAGGACACAATGGGCCCTCGAGATCTGGTGGGGGACTGCTGAAATTTGAGATGGGCTCTAGGCCCATATTGCAATTTCTGAAAAATCTCTAAGGGCCCATGTGGGTTATATGGCACTAGGTGTGGTGGGAAGTTTAGTCCCACCCCGGAAGTGGAAGGAGAGTTGGAGTGGTTTATAAGGGTTTCTCTTCTACATGCTATTGGAGCTTGAGAAGAGAAGAGGCCCTCGCGCACTCCTCCTCCGCCGCCCGCCTCGCCACGCCACGCCACGCCTCGTCACGACGCGCCGCGGGTTGCGGGATTGAGCCGAGCCGAGCTCACACCTACGCGCTTATTTTTGCCAGTCACTAACGGAGAGTTTTCTGACAGCTGGGCCACGATCTGAGACGTCGGATCGTGGGCTGTCGCGGACTCGGACGTGGGTCGAGCCCACGTCTCTCCACGCGGCTGCGCCTATAAGTATGCGGTGTCTCCTAACCCTAGCCGCCACGAACAGATCACATCTGCTCACGCGCACGCCCACCGTCGTTCCTTTGATGCTGTTGCCGCCGGTGACTCCATCCCGTCCGCCACGTACACGGTCGACGGGAGAGCAGGTCTCCGAAACCACGCCCTTCTGGTTCCTGTACGGGGTGAGGGGCGAATAGGTTTTTGGGCAGCGATTACGCGACTGCTCGCTTCCGATCGTCTACTTCCTCTACGTCCGCGTCGCCTTCATCATCACCATGTCCACCGACGCCGACCGTGCCGCCGCCGAGAAAGCTGAAGCCGACAAGAAGGTCGCCGAGGACGCCGCTGCTGCCACCAAAGCCGCGGCCTCTGCGTGGCCTACTGGAGGGTATAACTCGTTTATCCCGCTCCTGATTATTTTCATATTAGCAATACTAGCAGTATGTGTAGATTTGTCTACTGTTTGCTTAGTACGTGCATGTTTAGATCAGAGTCAGTACGTCATCAACTTAGTCAATGCCATGCTAGTGATTTACTCATGGATTAATTTAATCGAGAAATTGCCTATTTACTCAACACGGGAGCGGGCGGGGAGGGCGGCAGGACGGATGACGCCGCAGACGCCGGCGACGGGGAGGGAGGCGCGGAGGGAGGGGAGGCGACGGAGCCGGCAAGGGGCGCGACGGAGGGCAGCCCCGCGACCGGGGGAGCGACGCCGCTGGAGTCGCAGGAGCGCACCGCGTCCATCTCCGTCAATGCATTTCTTTTGATATGCTATTTCTCAGGCCACCTATTTTCCCAGGGAGAAATTATTGCCCAAGTAATGTCGATCGCCAACGGATCACGCACACCACACTCACGCAGGACCACGACGAGCCCCCGCCGTGCTTCTTGCAAAACTAATGCTGTTCGTTCCAGCAATAGTATTACTTGTAGAAAGGTAATAAAAAATTTGTGACTAGCCTAATACTGTACCTTGTAGGTTGCGCCTGCTGCCCAGCACGTTGGTTCAGGATGATACGGCTTCCTTCTCTCTTTACATTTAATTTGCGTCACATCATCAAGTAGATGTAATACTGTAATAAGTTGGCCAACTACAAGTGGTCTCACAACACAAGCGACTGCTCCGTGCAGTCCGTATGATCAGGTCAACATGTTGCTTTGTTCAGAAGTTAAGTAAGTTGACAAAACTTGGTAGTACAAATATTGCTCGGATAGAAAAACTCAACTCGCAAATGACATCAACTTAGATAGGATTGCTCTTCTTTTTTCCTCGTAAAATAAACCTACAAAAAAAAGTTATTCGGGAAAAAACCCGGGTACCATACCGGCCTGCATGCATGATTAAAATGTGGCGACAGATAAACAAACCTTGGACAGTACCACAAGTAAGAAAGAGCATAGCGGCAGCAAAGGCAAGAGAAAGCAGCTGCATATTCTTAACTAACTCCACAGAGTTGTGAGAAGGCGGCCAAGCCAATCAAGCGTCCAATTAAGATGGTGCACTGAATAGGTAGGAGACAGGCTTAATTTATAGCGAGAGAGAGACACACAGGGAGCTTCTGGACGAACACGGAGAGAGAGAAGACAGAGGAAGTCAGAGGAGGATTGGCGGCTGACTTGGCTCTGAATCTCTTCCTCTTCCAGAGACCAGAGTCCTCTTGGAATTTCAGGTAAGAAATGAAGCTTACATCTGCATTCCCATGGATTTCTCGGCACTGATCCAGTCCTAGTTGTGCTCTTCTCCTTGCCAAATAGAGTAATTCTGCTTTGTGTTCTTGTTGATTTGGGATGTTAATGGCTCATCTGCGCTCTCTCCCCGCGGCAAAGGAAATTTGCCCATTTCTTGTGTCGTGTTTCATGTGCCCTTTTGATTTCTGCGTTTTCATTTTGTCCTGCTTATGGGAAGGAACTGTCATCAAGTTTTGGTAGGAGTACCTTTTTTCGAAAAGGGGATAGCCCCGGCCAGGTTTTGGTAGCTTAAATCTTCCCTAGCAGAAGAAGATCAGTCAAGTTTGGCACTGGGTTTATATATTTTCTAAAATTTGCATAAGTGCATCCATCTATTTGTCCCAAGTGAAAATTTATAAAGTTCCACAAGTTTATAGAAAACAATAGGAACATTCACAATAACAAAAACATCTGATGTCAAAATATAGCCAGTGATGAATCTAACGGTATTGATTTGGAATTGTATATGTCAATAATTTCTTTATAAACTTGGTCAAAGTTTAGAAAGTTTGACTTGAGACAAAACTAATGTCCAGATTAAATAAAAACGGAGGGAGTGTCTATTTTCTCTCCCTGTACGTGAGTTTGATTTCATGGTTTGTGAAAAGAAGTTCCAGACATGACCGTAGCAATTATAGGAAGCAAACTATCATTACCTCTGAAATATGAGTGACTATTGTTGAAGGGTCTAAATCATCTGGGAATATTCTTATGTCCCTTGTGTACATTCTTTTAGCATATTTCTTAGGTCAATCTGGATCATTCTATTGACAGCCTAGTACTCCCAATTCAAATGTAATGCTTTGTTTTTCTTGCATAATGATGTCTCTGGACAAGATTAGACTTTTTGCACCCATATTTCTGAACAATTTTTCATTTTAGATATTGAAATTTGAAAGGACTTGGAACTTGTATGCTGCTTGACTGGATATTTAAGCTGCAGGGTTGGATTGGAGCAAGTTTTCCATCTCGATTATCATTCTCAAGGGCACAATGAGCACACAGAGTGTACTTCCTGTGAAAGATATCATTGCTCCTGACAGCATGGCTCACACCTGCAATGTTCCACAACCTTCAGCCCATCAAATGTTCAATGCTAAATCTGAAATTTACAGTTCGGCAGATGGTATTTCCCGCGTCTCATATGCTGACCTATCAGACCCGAATTCATCGAGCTCTTCCACATTCTGTGCAAGCATGTACTCGGCGTCACCGACGAACTCCAAATTATGCTGGCAAATCAGCGGTTTGCCTTTCCTGCCTCATCCTCCTAAATGTGAGCAGCAGCAGTTTTCAGCTGCGCAGTCATCGATCTCTGCTCTGTTGTTTGCTGCTGATCACAGCGATGGTGGTCAAGGTCATGATGAACATTCACATGATCTCAAGGACTTCCTTAACCTCTCCGGCAATGCTTCTGACAGTAGCTTCCGTGGAGGAGGCAGTTCCATGGATTTCAGTGAGCAGCTGGAGTTTCAGTTATTGTCTGAACAACTTGGGATTGCCATCACCGACAACGAGGAGAGCCCTCGGTTAGATGTGAGTACCTTTAGTTCCATGGTTGATCCTTCACTTAACATCATTATCTGAGTATTTCTTCAACTAGCTTCTTGAGTTCACATGCACCTTTATCTTGGCTAAGTTCAGATTTTAACTAGTTATTTTCCATATAACTCATTGCTTAGGACATATATGGCATAGCGCCGCAATGCTCACCTAGTCTACTATCCCCTTCCTCTGACCATGAGGATCTGCGCAGTGGGGGTTCTCCGGTTAAAGTCCAGTTGAGTTCATCACCTTCTTCATCTGGAGCAACAACATGTAGCAAAACGAGAATGAGATGGACACTTGAGCTCCATGAGCGTTTTGTGGAGGCTCTGAAAAAGCTCGGAGGACTGGAAAGTAGGGTGATCACTCTGTTAAATTTTTGGGCTAATTTTTTCTTGAAAATAGAACCAACGTTTAGATGTTTTGTTCCATGTACATATCTTGCAGAGGCAACTCCCAAGGGTGTGCTGAAGCTTATGAAGGTAGAAGGCTTGACGATCTTTCACGTAAAGAGCCATTTGCAGGTAAATGGCCAAATATCTTTAAATGCATACTCACAAACATATATCACATTACGATGCTTATACACCACTTGTTATTTCAAAATGCAGAACTATCGACATGTGAAGTATATTCCGGAGAAAAAAGAAGGTAAGACGACTAAGGTGAAGGGAAAATCTATACAGATTAAGTGTAAAATAATTTCTGAATATTTGACATAGTGGCAGTTGTTTTCATTCATAATCTTGTCATTCTCATGAAGTTGCTTTGAGTTGTAATTTTGTCATTCTCATTAAGTTTTTTTTTGGCTCCATGCTAATCTAGTGAAGAGACCATGTTCAGAAGATAACAAGGCAAAATCAACATCTGGAATTGATTCTGGCAAAAAGAAGTATCTCCTTCTCCAGAACTTGCTATCTCTTTTTATGTTAGCATGAGGGGCATGCACAAAAAGTGTCATCAAAACTCACATCAATTTCCATTTCGTAGGAGTTTTCAAATGGCTGAAGCTCTACGGATGCAAATGGAGGTTCAGAAACAGCTCCATGAGCAACTAGAGGTAACAGTGTGATAAGAAGATGCTGATAGGTTCAGAAACAGTTCTCATGAAGTTCAGAAGCCTTTGTCAGCATTCTTGGTTAATCTATGCTTTACTATTTGATAAGAAGAATTGTTTTTATTAGTCATCACAGAACTTACTATATTCAGAAAAACTCGTAGCTTATCAGCAGTGTTAACATTGTTGTTTTGGCCATCAGGTGCAAAGGAAATTACAACTGCGCATAGAGGAGCATGCAAGATATTTGCAGCGGATACTAGAACAACAGAAGGCCAGAAAATCTCTGGTACCGAAACCAGAGGAGAAAACAGAGGCCAGCACCACTTCAGCTCCGTCGCTGAAGTGTAAAATTTCCGACACCGAAATAGAACAGAACTTGCAAATGGATAGCAGAAGGCCAGAGCTACAACTTGATCTTGAAAGTGAACCGTAATGAACGATCATGGTGCATGCTTTAATCTTCTTGCCATGTAGAGTTCTAGTGCTTGCAATTGCATATATCCTGTTTTCCTTGAATATACCTTATGACAAGGTTCTAGCTAAGCCAGTGTATATAAGTAGTTCTGCTGCTTGTTTCCAGGAATAAACAAGATATTCTCATCTGTAATTAAACTAGCATTGCAGTTCAAACATAGATGTCACAAAGCTCCCTGTTCATGCTCATGAACGTCTTAAGCATGCAAGATAAACTGAATTAAATCGAAGTTTGAGGTTGCGATGTGAACCCTACATATGGGAGTACTGCGGCGAGATGATGCGCGTGGCACTGGACGTTACGGACGTCCTGGCGGCATGCCTGGACGTTACGGACGTCCTGAGCACCCTAAACACCTGCTTGGATTGCGAAGGGCCGTGGCCAAGGTAGCCAGGAGGGAAAGAGGAATCAGGTGGTCTCTCAGAAGTATACCATCTAAGCCTCTAAGAGGAGTTGATGCAATTTCGATGGGTTTGAATTTGATGGAATGGAATAAGTTAAGAACCTGATGTTTTGATTGATCTTACATGTTATGTAATGATGAGACCTCACTTGCTGCACTTAGTTGGTAAAAAAATACCAAAACTAAAATATTGTTTCAACTTTCATTCTTTGCTGGTTCCATAACAAGAGAATCTGCCTACACAACTTTATACTTTTTTACCTGTATTGCCTATCTACAAAACTGGATGTGCGGCTTTCTGAAAAGAGTTTCAAGGATGGATGCACTTGAAAGACCTCTAAATGTGAGGAAACACTGCGAAATTAGTCAAAAATACACAAATAGTCCCTGTCCTGATTGCAAATGTTGTCACATGGTAGAAATCTTCTGTAGAATCCATGGGATCATCCAGGTACTGCTAGTTTTGCGCAGGGTTATTACCTGCAGGTAAAAATTTGGAATATTAGTGAATTGTGTAAATTAATCACAATACAAATCTTTCTCGCTTTCTTACTGGGTATGCATTTTGAGATTCATGAAAATAATATTTATAGCAGCCTTGTTTGTAGCTAAATGCCCAACTACTGAAAATTCATGCAGCACAAACACTAATCAACCATGTACCCGAACCCGGTGGCTTTAATCAAAGCAGTGTGTAAAGCTTTTGATCTGAAAGATAAAAGAACAGGCAGAGGAAGTGCAGAAGTGAAGAACTTGCCATCAGGATCCTGATCGGAATGTACATAGAAACTAGCAGCGACTATCAGATAGCATAGAAACAGCATCAACCCTTTTAAGCAATTTGAAGTCCCATCCTGGAAATTGAGAGAAAAACAGAAGAGTGAATTCTCGCAAAAGCAAGGCAGAGGTCTCGAAGAATGCTACCAGTATATAATTTTAGTACCTGCAACAAAAAAGCGACAACCAGTACCGTCATTAAGAGGCTTGCGGTCTCGAAAAGATGAAAGTTCAAGTCCATGGGCTGGCCCATCATCCACCCTATCACTACACAAAATGGTATCTGCAAAATGAGATGCAGAGAAATCTGTCAGCAAAACAATAGCTGATAAATTCAGGTGAATGCCAGTAAGGCACAAACGGCTGGACCAACCTACCCCAAACATGGACATTTGCGTTGACGACCCTATTGCAACTCCAAGGGAAAGATCCTACAAGAAAAATACAAGAATCTTACCGATCTGTGTGAACAGAAGATTGATAAGAATTTTAAGCTTCTCTTACTAATTTGTCTTTCATTGCAAACATGACAGCACTAGCATGTTCTGCAGCATTCCCCACAATCGGAAGCAAAATAACACTGATGAACGCAACCGGTATATTCCAAGCTTGGGAAGCCCCCTGATAAATGTGCAAGGTTAATTATCATTTTATCTTTGCAGGAAGTAATATTTTTGTGCAAATCATGAAATATGTTTCCATGAGAACATTGCATATATGCATCTGTTAGGTTCTCACAAACAACACCACTGAAAAAAGGTGTGTATAATCATCTAATGGATCTACAAGAGAGCTTACGTCGATTGCATTAACTAAGTAGTCAGAGAGTACTGAGATCCAAATTGTCAAAATTGCAAGCCAGGAAATGGCTTCCCATTTTGAAATGTCAGGAGCTTCGATGTTGTCGGCATCCCCTACATTCTCACCTCTTCCCTGGTCCAATCAAATGCACATATTTAACTCAGAAACTTAAAAAAGAAAATATGGAGAAATAGAAAGTCAAGCAAAACATCATTCGAAACTATGCATATCAGTATGGGCAATCCATCACTTACTTCATTAGATTCCTCACGACGGCGACTGGTTGTCAGTTCAAAGTAGATGTAGCAAGCGTAAGCAACAAGCATGACGCAGCTGCTGAACCTTGACAAGGCTAGTCCTGACTTTCCAGAGTGGACTTCTGAATGAGTGTAATGCAGCACAGTAGGAGGCAGCAACCCCAATACGGCCATCAAAAGCAGCCCAGAGCTCACTACTGCCTCTGACTGCAACAACACAGAATGAGCACTCTCATCTACATTGTGCAAATCTGTGAACAGACAAGAATGGTCACCTTGCTGAAGTTCTGCTCAGTTTTGCCACAAGTGACCCCTCCACTGAAAAATGCGCAACCGAGAACCAGAAGCAAGTTTGACAGGATGGACCCTAGCAGAGACTGCTGGACAACTCGTAACTTTCCACTCCTTAGCGCATGGATCGATATAATCAACTCGGTCGCATTTCCAAATGTAGCATTCAGAAGGCCCCCAACTGCATGCACATGAAATTTTTCATAATCAATACGAATGCTAGTCGGATCAAAATGCTTCGAAGAAGAGCAACTGAGTGAGACCTGTTGGGCCTGTGAAGAATGCTAACTGCCTGCAGTAAGAAGTAAAGTGTCAAATGTTTGTTCAACAATATCAACAAGGATCATTATATAAGTATGAAAAATGTAACAATTACTCGGTGGCGAAGCCCAGTCGCTCGGCCAAAGGAATAATGCCCAACAGAGTCAGGGGAAACACCCAACCCTTCAACACAAACAAAGGAGTAATAGTGTAATATCAGGACAAGAGAACAAAAAAATGCAGCATAAAGCAGATACTAACACAAATTGATGAAACACTTGGATGCAATTTAGCACACATACATTATTTCCTGTCATGTCCTTGACGACGATTGCCACAAAGCCACACGGTATCAACAGGTTGAGCTTTGACTTGAGCACCACAAACTTCAGGCTACCAAACATCCCCAAATTCCCAGGGCCTGCATTTCTCTCAAAGCCGCCAGTTCTGCAAGACAGCGCTTCCGAGGCAATAAGCGCGTCGTCGTCAAATTCGTCTGCTCCATCGGAGAATGTGGAGGCCTGTTCTATAGGAAAATCAACGAGGACAAATCCAGTGAATAAGTATGGAGACACCAAATCAAGAATACAGAAAAAACTATGCAAATGAGGAATGTATGATGAATGCACTACTAGACGGTAATCAAGGGAAACTGTTGTGATCACTCACTTGAGTGGCAGACTTCTGGCCATTTCCATTGATCCTGTCCATCTGTGAATCAATAGAAACCATTAAATATATGACAGACACTCTAAAATATGTCTATATACATCCGTACGTAATTCGTATTGAAATCTAAGACTTATATTTAGAAACAGAGGGAGTAGTTGGTTAATATTAATTGATCATTCCCACCCGATTGCCATGTTAATTATTGCAATATATCTCAATCAATTATCGGGTTGATTTGGGTCGACCGGGAGTAATTATTACAGAAAGAACGCAGAACAGGAAAGGGAGACGGGTGAGAGAACGAAACCTGATGGGAGTTCTGACGGCCGGGCAAGAGCCGCCGGGAGTCGGAGCCGGACGCCGCCGCGGTCGACGTCATCGTCCTGATCCACGGATGAAAGCCTGATGCGGAGACGAAATCCTCATGGATAAATCGAAAGAAGAAGAAGAAGAGGGAGATGATCGGGAGAAATTAATATTACCTGATCTCCTGCGAAATGCGCTTTTATATACCACCTACTAAAACCTGATCCTAATTAGGGCGCCCGTCATCCATGAAGGAATCATGACGAGGAGGAGGACGAGAGGTGAGATGCGTGCATGGTCAGGTTAGGTTAGAGACGGGTACGGCACCACCTCGCCCCCAACAAAATCCACCTCTGTCTCAGGTTTCTTTTAGGTCGTGGTTTGGAAGAGAGATAGATAGAGAGAGAGAGAGCGTCTAGAGAACTGGGAGAGTCTAGAGAGAGGACGTCAGTTTTAAGGGGCCGCCTATTCATTCATTGCCTGAATATTTTTCAATCGGTTGATTTTTCAGCCGTTGATCCGACGGTTGGCATCTTCCTCCTCGTGACCCTCCTTATCAGAGCATCTCCACTCGCGTCCCCAACATACCTCTCAGGGTGAGTTTTTTCACGCTGGCGTCAAAAAAAAAAACCTCCAGTTGCATTCTCACGACGCCGAAACTAGCGCACTGGGGGCGCTTGGAGGCTCCCGCGGAAAGAAAAACCGCGCCTGGGCCACCACTGTAAAGCGAAAACGCATCTTGCACGTCCAAATTGCCCCCTCCCCCTCGTGCGCACGCCCTTCCGCCGCCGTGCCGATCCGGCGCCGCCTACCCACCCACCGCCGTTAGGTAGGCCATTCCCCCACCGGAAAAGAGAGGGTTCCGCCGCGACAGCCTCCACCCCGCTCCTGGGGAGCTTTCCGTCGCTCCGGCCACGCAGGGCTGGAATACCGGCGGCTGCGCCTACCACGCCTGCCAGATGTTCAGCGATTTGTCTGCTCGGCAATGGACTCGGACGACGAGGAGGCGCTTGCGACGCTGCTGGAGGAGAAAGCCGATGCCGACGCCCAGGACGAAGAGCGTCTCATGGTCCTGCCGCTCTGGCCAGTCTGCTCGCGAGCAATGCAAAGCCGCGGTAAGGTGGCTCGGCGCTGTGACGTTCTCGATTCAATCATACACTAATCATACACGCAAATGTGTACGATCAAGATCAAGGACTCACGGGAAGATATCACAACACAACTCTAGACACAAATTAAAATAATACAAGCTTTATATTACAAGCCAGGGGCCTCGAGGGCTCGAATACATAAGCTCGAAAACACAAGAGTCAGCGAAAGCAACAATATCTGAGTACAGACATGAGTTAAACAGGATTGCCTTAAGAAGGCTAGCACAAAAGCAACATCGATCGAAAAGGCAAGGCCTCCTGCCTGGGAGCCTCCTAACTACTCCAAGTCGTCAGCGGTCGTCACGTAGTAGTAGGCACCCTCGGGGTAGCAGTTGAAGGAAATATGCCCTAGAGGCAATAATAAAGTTATTATTTATTTCCTTATAATCATGATAAATGTTTATTATTCATGCTAGAATTGTATTTTCCGGAAACATAATACATGTGTGAATACATAGACAAACAGAGTGTCACTAGTATGCCTCTACTTGACTAGCTCGTTAATCAAAGATGGTTATGTTTTCTAACCATGAACAATGAGTTGTTATTTGATTAACGAGGTCACATCATTAGTAGAATGATCTGATTGACATGACCCATTCCATTAGCTTAGCACCTGATCGTTTAGTATGTTGCTATTGCTTTCTTCATGACTTATACATGTTCCTATGACTATGAGATTATGCAACTCCCGTTTACCAGAGGAACACTTTGGGTACTACCAAACGTCACAACGTAAATGGGTGATTATAAAGGAGTACTACAGGTGTCTCCAATGGTCGATGTTGGGTTGGCGTATTTCGAGATTAGGATTTGTCACTCCGATTGTCGGAGAGGTATCTCTGGGCCCTCTCGGTAATACACATCACATAAGCCTTGCAAGCATTACAACTAATATGTTAGTTGTGAGATGATGTATTACGGAACGAGTAAAGAGACTTGCCGGTAACGAGGTTGAACTAGGTATTGGATACCGACGATCGAATCTCGGGCAAGTAACATACCGATGACAAAGGGAACAACGTATGTTGTTATGCGGTCTGACCGATAAAGATCTTCGTAGAATATGTAGGAGCCAATATGGGCATCCAGGTCCCGCTATTGGTTATTGACC